AAGATACTTAATTTGAATACTTCGTTGTTTGTATTAGAATATTGAAAATAGCTGTTAACATTTGATTTATATGTATACTATAGAATTATGTACTTTAATATTATATGACAACTTTATTGTGCAAATATGAGATAGTATAATGATAATAATGATTCCATTTCCAAAAAGTAGATAGTTAATCAGTTATCTGATAATATTATGTTCAATTTCATGTTTTTGAAATAAATAAAAATGTTCATTTAAAAAAAATAGTGATTATGCACGTTATTATTTAATGTAAGAAATAAGTTTGAAAACATATTGCAGTTTAAGACTGGTGTTAAATGTATTCATTTTTCATTATTAATTCAAAAAGGGTAATCATCATTTTTCAYCACGGTTTTAATTAAATAACAAGGACCCACTAAATGGAGTTCAAGGTGTTTAAACGAAATTTATCATCGAAGAACACTACTTATGATCTAAAAAATAAAWAAATAAATGTTGTTTTTAATATTTTTTAATGATGTTCCTTTCTTCTCTTTATTTTTCTTTAATTGCACTTAATAAATTTCAGTATGAAATACTATTGTTATTTATCGATTTTTTTTATTAAATAGTCTAAATAGCAAGTATAAATGCTGGAGTTCCTCAAGGTGGCATTTTATCTCCATCACTCTACAATATCTTTGTCTCTGATCAACCCACGTCTCCAAACACCTCAGTCGCGGACTACGCGGATGATAAAGTGATTATCTCGATTAACGATGACCCATCTTTGGCCTCCGCATATTTGCAAATCCATCTAGGCATGATGGAAAGATGGTATACCAAATGGAAATTTAAAGTAAATCAAAATAAATCAGTACACACTACTTTTACACTAAGACAAGCACCTTGCCCAAGGGTACTACTAGTTATGGCATCCCTATTACCTCATCACCATCAGTAAAATACCTTGGTCTAACTCTTGATCAACGCTTAACCTGGGCTCAACACATATGTGAAAAAAGACTATCCCTAAACAATCGGCTACGTAWGCTTAAGAATTTAATTGGTAACAAAGCCACCCCTATTAATATCAAACTCCTCTTGTATAAAACCTTATTAAAACCCATTTGGACATACGTATAGCAGCTATGGGKAAATGCTAAAAAGTCAAACCTGAATAAGATTCAAGCTTTCCAAAATATAGATTGTAACTTAAATACTATTCATGACGAAACTAAACGTTTTCATAAAAAATTTCATAACTGTATATCCTCTCATTCAAATCCACTCATTAAAAACTTATCATCCCTCACAATCCCAGGTAGCCCTCCAAGGCGACTGAAACGTAAATGGTGCAGAGATTTATTACTTTAAATAATAACATATAAGATATAACTAAATATTTAATATATAATATATATATAATTTAAATACTAACGTATAACTAAATCACTAATATGATAAACCAAGACGAAAGTGTCATCAGTGGGTGGCTTCATTCCTAAAATTTATGTAAATCACCCTATTGTTTGTTTCCCTTATCACACATATACTTATTATGTTAAATATATAGATTGTATATTTTATTCTAAAAATAAAAATAAAATAGTCTAAATAATATACAATACATTTACCATGTACCTATGATATATAGGAATGAATTAAATATTTTATATTATTTTACGTACTTTTGTTTTTTTTTTTAGTAATATAAAATAAAATATATATGATAATACAATATGAATGTCTTTAGGTGGGTATAAAGTTCGTCTTTTAAGGTGATATAGGACGATTTACTTAAAATGCTCACCCAAATTTTTTCCTTTAATAATGAATTCATTTAAATTCATGTTTTTAGAAATTTTAAATGTTATACCTAAAAGATCATAATGCATTTTTCAAATTTTTTGATCTAATTAARTAGTGTCTTTTGATATAAGCTTCTGTTATTATTCAAATGAGAACTCAAATTTTCACAGTAAATTATTTAGTAGACGATTTTTTAAAATGTTGATGTATCTAATTTGAAACTCGAACGAGTAATTTATCAGTGATTAAAATGCTTGTAGTAGATAGTAGGTACTATATAATAAATTTCTTTAATTTAGAATCCAAGCTGAGTGAGAGTTATGTAATAAATTACTGTGACAATAATGTGTTTGTATTGGATAGAAGAAGTAAGTAAGCACTTAAAAGTTTCATTGTACCTATAGTATGTAGTTCAAAAAGTGATCCATTTAAGTGTCTACATTCATTATTTCAGTATTTTTTTCAGTTATAACTTTCATGAAAGACAAAATACAATTTTAATTTTATATTTTGAGGTATAATATTTTTAAAAGTATTTCAATACATTAAAATCAAATTTCAAACGAATAGTCATTAGTCAACTATAATATGAATTGTGAAGTTTAATAATTTTGAAAACGTACCATGAACTTTAAGGTTCAGATGAGTGAAGTATTGTAACAGCATTTTGTGAGGTACCTTTTCGTTATCCAACAGTGCATCTACACCACTCATCTTAGCTTTAAATACATATACATTATTTTTTAGATTCTGAACGAAGTGATGAATGTATTGATTTTACAATGATGTGTGTTCTTTTTTTTTTACGTTTGTTTTTGTGTCTGTGTACAGCATAACTAGTCGAAATAATGCTTCAATTTCAAACATTGGGGTGTGTTTTAAGTGCGTTTGAATTTTAAATTTTTTCGAAATAGCGTAACAATAACGATTTATCCTCAAACGAATTTAAATATTTGTTAATATTCAAAATGTATAAATCGTAGATACTTGACAATTTTATCAGTTATTTAGATTGGCACTTTATTTACATGATTTAATTTTCAAAATATTTTGATTTTTTTTGAGATATTTATARACAACTGAAATTTTCAATTTTTTTGAATAATTTTTTTGAAGGGTTGATAAAATTTTTTTGGCCCTATCAAAATACTTGAAAATTGAATACAAAGTTTCTCATWAGTTATTCTTATAGTAATTAAAAAATTATAAAAATACATAAGCACAATTTTTTTTTATTAGCATTTGAGGTTCAAATATTAACTTAATACGTAAAAATTACGGCTATGTTCAAATTATCTTAGATAGAAATTCATAAAATT